TCCCTGTCCCCAGTGCCACTCTCCTTGTCCCCAGCACCACCTCCCTGTCCCCAGTGCCACCCTCCCTGTCCCCAGTGCCACACTCCCTGTCCCCAGTGCCACCTCCGTGTCCCCAGTGCCACCTCCCTATCCCCAGTGCCACCCTCCTTGTCTCCAGTACCACCCTCCCTGTCCCCAGTGCCACCTCCCTGTGCCAGCCCCTCTCGAGTGCCGGGGGGGGGGTTGGATGAGGAAGAACCGTTTTTAAAACCCCCCGGGGACCAATCGCGGGCCGGGGGGAGGGGCCGGGCAGCCCCCGAGTGGCAGTGACGGGCAGGGGGCACCGGGGGGGGGGCTGGGGGCACCGGGGACCAGGCTGGGGGGGACGAGGGGCCTGGCACAGGGGGCTCCTGGCACGGGGGTTGGCACTGATCTGTCCCCATTCCCAGGGGGGTCCTGGTACGGGGGTTGGCACTGATCTGTGCCCATTCCCGGGGTGCTTCTGGTGTGGTTGGCACTGATCCGTCCCCATTCCCAGGGGGCTCCTGGCACAGGGGTTGGCACTGATCTGTCCCCATTCCCAGGGGGGTCCTGGCACGGGGGTGGCACCGATCTGTGCCTGCTCCCGGGGGTTTTCTGGTGGGGGTGGCACCGATCTGTGCCCATTCCCGGGGGGCTCCCGGCACAGGGGTGACACTGATTTGTGCCCGTTCCTGGGGGGCTCCTGGCACAGGGGTTGGCACTGATCTGTCCCCGTTCCCAGGGGGCTCCTGGCACAGGGGTTGGCACTGATCTGTCCCCATTCCCGGGGAGCTCCTGGCACGGGGGTGGCACCGATCTGTGCCCGTTCCTGGGGGGCTCCTGGCATGGGGGTTGGCACTGATCTGTGACTGTTCCCAGGGGTTTTCTGGTGTGGTTGGCACCGATCTGTGCCCATTCCCGGGGGGCTCCCGGCACAGGAGTTGGCACTGATCTATGACTGTCCCCGGGAGGCTTCTGGTGTAGTTGGCACCGATCTGTGCCCATTCCCAGGGGGCTCCTGGTGTGATTGGCACTGATCTGTGCCCATTCCCGGGGGGCTTCTGGCACAGGGGTTGGCACTGATCTATGACTGTCCCCAGGGGGCTTCTGGCACGGGGGTGACACCGATCTGTGCCCATTCCTGGGGGGCTCCTGGCACGGGGGTTGGCACTGATCTATGACTGTCCCCAGGGGGCTCCTGGCACTGATTTCTGCCCATTCCCAGGGGGCTCCTGGCACAGGGGTGACACTGATCTGTGCCTGTCCCCGGGGGGCACAGGCGTGGTTGGCACCGATCTATGACTGTCCCCGGGGGGCTCCTGGCACAGGGGTGACACCGATCTGTGCCCATTCCTGGGGGGCTCCTGGCACAGGGGTTGGCACTGGTCTATGACTGTCCCCGGAGGGCTCCTGGCACAGGGGTTGGCACTGATCTATGACTGTCCCCGGGGGGCTCCTGGCACAGGGGTTGGCACTGATCTGTCCCTGTTCCTGGGGGGCTCCTGGCACGGGGGTTGGCACTGATCTGTGCCTGTCCCCGGGGGGCACAGGCGCGGTTGGCACTGATCTATGACTGTCCCCGGGGGCTCTTGGCACAGGGGTGACACCGATCTGTGCCTGTCCCCGGGGGGCACAGGCGCGGTTGGCACTGGTGTGGTTGGCACTGATCCGTGCCCGGCCCCGGGGGGCTCCTGGCACAGGGGTGACACCGATCTGTGCCTGTCCCCGGGGGGCACAGGCGCGGTTGGCACTGGTGTGGTTGGCACTGATCCGTGCCCGGCCCCGGGGGGCTCCTGGCACAGGGGTGACACCGATCTGTGCCTGTCCCCGGGGGGCACAGGCGCGGTTGGCACTGGTGTGGTTGGCACTGATCCGTGCCCGGCCCCGGGGGGCTCCTGGCACAGGNCTGGCACAGGGGACTCCTGGCACAGGGGTTGGCACTGATCTGTCCCCATTCCCAGGGGGCTCCTGGCACAGGGGTTGGCACCGATCTGTCCCCATTCCCAGGGGGGTCCTGGTACGGGGGTGGCACCGATCTGTGCCCGTTCCCGGGGGTTTTCTGGTGGGGGTGGCACCGATCTGTGCCCATTCCCAGGGGGCTCCTGGCACAGGGGTTGGCACTGATCTGTCCCCATTCCCAGGGAGGTCCTGGCACAGGGGTTGGCACTGATCTGTGCCCGGCCCCGGGGGGCTCCTGGCACGGGGGTTGGCACTGATCTGTCCCCATTCCCGGGGTGCTTCTGGTGTGGTTGGCACTGATCCATCCCCATTCCCAGGGGGCTCCTGGCACAGGGGTTGGCACTGATCTGTCCCCATTCCCAGGGGGGTCCTGGCACAGGGGTGGCACCAATCTGTGCCCGTTCCCGGGGGTTTTCTGGTGGGGGTGGCACTGATCTGTCCCCATTCCCGGGGTGCTTCTGGTGTGGTTGGCACCGATCTGTCCCCATTCCCGGGGGGCTCCCGGCACAGGGGTTGGCACTGATCTATGACTGTTCCCAGGGGTTTTCTGGTGTGGTTGGCACCGATCTGTCCCCATTCCTGGGGGGGTCCTGGCACAGGGGGTGGCACTGATGTGTGACTGTCCCCGGGGGGCTCCTGGTGTGATTGGCACTGATCTGTGCCCATTCCTGGGGGGCTTCTGGCACAGGGGTTGGCACTGATCTATGACTGTCCCCAGGGGGCTTCTGGCACAGGGGTGACACCGATCTGTGCCCATTCCTGGGGGGCTTCTGGCATGGGGGTGACACCGATCTGTGCCTGTTCCTGGGGGGCTCCTGGCACAGGGGTTGGCACTGATCTATGACCGTCCCCGGGGGGCTCCTGGCACAGGGGGTGGCACCGATCTGTGCCCATTCCTGGGGGGCTTCTGGCATGGGGGTTGGCACCGATCTGTCCCTGTTCCTGGGGGGCTCCTGGCACAGGGGTTGGCACTGATCTATGACTGTCCCCGGGGGGCTCCTGGCACAGGGGTGGCACCGATCTGTGCCTGTCCCCGGGGGGCTCCTGGCACAGGGGTGACACCGATCTGTGCCTGTCCCCGGGGGGCTCCTGGCACAGGGGTGACACCGATCTGTGCCTGTCCCCGGGGGGCTCCTGGCACAGGGGGTGGCACCGATCTATGACT